GTATACGCTAGAAGGGAGTAAAATTAACAAAAGGCTATCAAAGTTTATCTTACAGGATCAATCAAAATAACATAGATACTACATAGGTCACCTAAACTAAAGAATTCTGTGACAGAAAGAGAAAGAATCTAACGTACTGGAATTTTTTTTTTTTTTTTCCTTTTTCTTTACCAAAAGAAAGTAGATTTTCGTTTTCTTCACCTACTTCAGAGACAGCGATTTTTAGCAGGAAAAGTGGAAAACAGGTGCCCTAAGTATCCAATAAATTTGACAAGGAAACTACGGCTCGAACACAGAGGAAAAAAAATAAAAAATAAAAAATAAAAAAAGCCACAAGCAGACAAGAAAAATATATGAGATGAAAATAAATAAGAATTTATTAAAAATTAAAAAAAAAATTTACCAGAGCTAAAAGGTGCGTTTTGACCAAAGCTGAGAGTAACATGGCAGCTATCGTTTCCCCGGCGCACGTTAGCGCGGCGTAACTAACCGTAACTGCCACTGGACCTTTGTTCTCCTCCATCTTCGCGGCCAACGAGATATAAAAAAAAAATTTTTTTTTAAGTATGTTAAAAGTTATAACCTGCAAAAACGAGCAACTGACCGTTAGATCTGTCCTGTGACCTTACCAACCGTCAGATCTGATATACAGGTTGAATAGACAAACACTGATTTAACCCAAAAAAATAAATATAAAAAATAGCAAAAACCACAGAACCTTCCTTTAACAGTGCAGAAGGAGAAAGTAATTATGAGTCCTTTTGACCGGAAAAGGACAAGAAATATCTTTCGGTGAAAGGAAAGCACGCCGGCGAAGAGTGTTTGGCGAGCGAAAATGGACTTAAAACAAGCAAATTAAAGCAGAACGAATAAAACTTAAGAAAAATGCTGTAGAAAATCTCCATATCTAGAGAATCAGTCAAAATTGGCTTAAAATAGAAAGTTCGAGAGAAATCACACAACTAGCTGGAGAAAACGAGAAAAACGAAACAGGAACAGCATTTTTACCACGATTCCGTGCGAAATTCACCGAGTAAAAGCTTGAATAGCCAGGAAATGTATGTAGGAGTTCGAATTGAAAGAAAACAGTGAAGAAACAGAGAGAAAACGACACAATTAGAAGGAGTAAAAGCCTGCGAGAGAGCGAAAGCATACCAGGAACGGAGATCCGAGCACAGAGAAAGCAGATCTGAGGATTTGGAGCTCTAAAAGGCAAGAAAACGAGGAAAAGGAGCTCCCTTCATCGTGGACCGTCCGATCGTGATCGAGGAAAGACGGAGGGAGCAAGATATAGAGAGAATATCAGACAGAGAGCAAAGAGAGAGAGGGGGGGAGAGTACTGGTGAGTGACTGCCCGTAATTCTCCAGACAGGATTCGGGCAGGACGGGCAACTTCATCAACGGGTAAAAAAGATCGCGGGTAAGGACAAGTGTGGTTTTAGAATTTAGAGTGTTTTTATTAAAGATAATAATTAATAATAATGGTGATTATTTCATTTTTATTTTT